TTGAATAATTATTTATATAAATATATAATGAATTGAAATATTAAAAATTAGACTATAATCTCAAAATAAAAAATATGTTTGATAAAAAATTTCATTGGTCAAACATATCATTCGAAAAATGAACCGGGTGTTAAAAACAATAGAGTTACTAATTCTTAAGATTAACTGCATGAAACTAAAAAGACAAATAATTTAGTCACTATAATCAATCAATAAAAAATAAAGTAAAATAATGTCAAATCAGTACTCCGTATGTTGATTAAAATTACCAACTCGTTAAAATAATAAATAGACAACAGATGATTTATTAAAAATGTCATATTAGCTCGTGACATGCCAATATCATGTAAGTCAGAGTCTCAAATTTTATAATAAAAGGAAGGATTAGCCAATAAATGTCATTAGCAATTAATTGAAAGTTTTTTATAATTAACATTTATAACCTCCTAATTATAATTACTTTACATATACCTCGTAAAAGTTTTTTATATGTGCAATAATTGGGAATGAATATTTGCTCTAATAAGATGTTTTCATACTTTAAGTTAAAATTGCCAAGTCACTTAAGTCATCAAATGTGGCTGATGATGTGTAAAAAAATTTGCCAAGTAGTCTGCCACATGTCGGGTTTCTGGGAGTTTAACTCCCAAATATTATATACTAGTTTTTTGACCCGTGCCACGCACGGGGTCAAACGAATATTTTTATTCTGCACTTTTCTTTTAATGTTACTGATTAAAAAATTAAAAATAATCTAAAAGTGACACCAAAACTTGTGTAACAAATAATAGATAACATGTGCTAATGAAAATTATTTTAAACTCTATTTGGTATAAAAAATTAAATTTGAAATGTAGCACATGACAATTAACTATAATAAATATCAATATCATTTAAACAATTATCACGTGTTATAATCACTGCATTTAAAATTGTATGTTTTACTAATTCCTTTTTTATATAAAAAAATCTTCCAAGTTAGGGTTCAAAAAGTTAGTGTATAAAAAGTCTTTCAATTTTCATAATCAGTTTTTGCTTAGCTCATGATATCAATGCTACGGATTATATTTGTTGCCTCAATTGCACTGTCATTTTAGTATATTCGTTCAAGCATTTCAACTAATTTAGTATGTTCGTTCAACCATTTCAAATTATTATGAAGGATGATATAGTTATATAGGGAACGAATCAAGAAAAGAAGAATGAAACAATAAGAATCTTGAATTTCAATTTTATTAACATGTAATCCCCATAACTGAGATATACGGAGTAATAAGCAAATAGTGTCCGAGTAACAAAAAAAGCTTTTCTCTATAAAGTACTCTCCCCCTCTATTTGCCCATCACTAATGCATCCTTGATATGCTAAATCAAGGAGTCCCCACTTCCACAGTGAAGTATCTGATGTTTCATGTGTGAAGAGGAATTAGATAGCTTGTGATTTTCAATTTTGCATCGGATCTTTCGTGCTATTTTTGCACCCTGCATTCGTGACCATATTTCCAGTCTCACATGGCAATATTTGGGCCAAGACTTATCTTAGCTTTGTTGCTACAGGATCATAATTGTATGCATTAAAAACAAAAGAGAACGAAAGCAATGTAAATATGGCAGGAATGATAAAGAGTGAGGATACCTGGGTATATCCTCTATTGTGATTGCAAGGTTCTTGGCAGACTTTGCGCTAGGAACTTCATTAGGTTGTCCATAGTTTCACTTGCAAGGTACCCTGTAGTTTGCTAGTCTTTTGAATTATATTGTTTCTTAAGAGGGGTTGTAGTAGAATTGTAATGTATTTAAGAAGGGGATCATAATTAAAAAATTTATGAGTAAAAAGACAAAGGCTGTTTATTTTGCATATTATTGAAGGATTTTTCTACCATGTCATTCCTCATGTGAACCAACAATTACAATAATCAGTACTAATATTAAAAAGCGGTTGCGGAACTAAGTTGTAGATGGGGAGGGAGAGCTGCGTCCTCCTGAATAGTATCCATTAAAGGTTCCCCAAAAAGGTTTGTTATTAAATCCAGCTGATGAATTATATTGTTGCCAAGGAATAAGAGCTCTCCACTAAAAACTTCAGCTAGTATACAACCACTACACTTACGTTGAGATTGTATGAACAAATATTACATTCTACTCCGTAATAGAGTTATTAAGCACATGTCACGATCTCTATGCACGTACACTCTTGTCTGCATTTTTAAACAAAAGTCAAAAGCTATAAAAAAATTAAAATGATTTGTAAAAAGTGATATTTTTATGCCAACAGAAGTAAGTATTTTGCCTAAAAATTATAACATCAAAGTGAACAACTTAGAGCCATGATGCGTTTTGAATTATAGCAACCTTTCGGGTGAGACTTATCATGGTTGGGTGGTTGAGATCACTTGCTTGAAGATCAATCAAATTAGAAAAAGACGATAGATGAAAACATATAGAGTATGAAAATTGATGTCATAGAACAACAATATAGAAAAAAAGTGTATACAAAGTATAAAGATTAATGTCATAGAATCACAAAACAAAAAGAAGTTGCATACTAAGTCTGTAAGTCACATAAATATCATGAAGTAAATAAATTACAGTTTGTTTTTAGGATAGTTAAATTTGTAGCAAAACTACCATTATGGAATGAAGTTTATTCCATTAAAAAGATCATTCATGCCGAGTAGACAACTGCTCAATCTTTCATCCCCCTTAGTGACTTTTTCATATAATGCATACTAATGAGTACCAAAAATAACTATTATTTGGTATTTAAATATTCAAGTTTCGAAGTACACAGAAGTTTTTTTCATGATTTGTTTAGCCATCTTATGTGTCCATCAAGGTGTTGTACATCTCCAAGAAGTATATAGAATGAAGAGGATGCACTATCACGATTAGAATTGAATATAAAACAAAATGTAAGTACTTATATATTTATGCAAGAAGATTATTAATTGAGTTTGTAGAACATCAAATATCACATGCAAAATATAATTAATTAATAGAACTAATTTGTCAGAGGTTGGACTTTTTTTTATTTCCAAGGCTATCATTAATTACAACATATAAAGATTTTAAATTTTTTAAATTTTTAAAATTTTTAAATTCCTCTTCTTTTAATTAAAATAGAATGTCAAAAAACTAAAGAAAAAGTAATTTGAAAATGACTACCCTCTGCTTCATTCTCGATTGCCAAACGATGCTGAAATTCTTCCATGTTCCATAGTCATGGAGATAAATACTGAATTTTATTTAAAATGCAAATTTAGATCAAATAAATATATAAAATATAAACATTGAAGAAAGTTACCAGGGATGTTCCATGATTTTGTTGTCCAATTTGTGCGCTCGAGGTTCTACTTAGGAATTGTCCAAAAAGTTGCTTGCCACGTCTTCAACCGATTTTTTTAGTGATGTCTTGCCAGAGCCTGTTCCAACCGATTCCAGGACACTATCCCTCCTGGGAAGAGAGAATATAATTTGATGTTAATGATGATGACAATGATGATCCTAACAAAAATGAAACCATTCAACTTATTAAATCACCAACTATAAGAACCCAAACTACTATGAGATAGAAAAATCAGTAGAGGAGAGAAACATATTCTGGTTGAAAACTCTATGATGAATTTTCAAAATAGAAACTTATATGATAGTACCTATTAATTTTAAAAAAAAAATTAAATTCAAAGAAATCATATGATGAATTTTCAAAATTAACCACCATCATTTGTATGCACTATCCACTTTATCAACTCATCCACATTCCACTTCGATTCCTTATTACTCTCCTCCTAAAACATAAACATATCAAATTTCAAATCATAAAAAACATGTAAATCATACCTTGAGATTGAGAAGTGTGTTTAAGCTTTCAATGACTCATTAATATTTTTTATCAAAGTTTTTATCAATTCATGTATTTACAAATATAAAGATAAGAAAATCTAAAAAAAGTTGCAGGGAATCAAAGAGGCATGGGTATGTCAGGATAAAGCAAATGAATTAAACTAATGTGAATGCCTTAGAAAAAAATTACAACATAATTAAAGGAATCAAATTAGAATTGTCAAATGAAAGTCTAAAGAGTCATAATTGGGAACTCTATGGCGCAGGGCGAAGGAATTAAGGAAAGAAAACTGACTTGCGCAAAAGAAGGAGACGAAGGTGACCGATCGAATAATTTACCCTTGAACTTTTTAGCGACGGTAGAAGGAAAACAATGTGTGCGCTGATTTTCCTTGCCCTTTTTTTAGTCGGTGAATAATCGAGTTGTAGAGAGATTGGAGGAATCTTTGATACGATGCAGAGAGCCATGGATCTGAAGAAAAATTGGTTGATTCGGCATCAAATTGTAAAGATATCGACAAAATCTTTGACACTTTCCTTTGGCGAAGCAGAGACAGTTGATTTCTTTCCTTCGGCAAAGAAATTAATCGGAAAAATTGGGGTAGCCGAAGAAGAAGAATGGAAAGGCGTATCGTAGTACCTGAGATTTCTTTCCTTCCGTGACCCAACGCAGCGAGGAATCAGGGCTGAATCATATTTGTTTCCTTTCAGCGTGAAGATTTGGAGGAAATTTCCTTTCCTCTGCTCGAAGAACTTGGGCGAGAGAAAGAACGTAAACTGGAAGGAGAGCTTCCCTTATAATTGGACGTGTGTCATCTGAGGGAGGTGTCATCAAATTAGGAATCCTAATGTGCCACGTGTTCTAGGCTATCAACTCTCAAATATTATATTAATAAATGATAAATGATTGGGAATGAATATTTGCTCTAATAAAATGTTTTCATACTTTAAGTTAAAATTGCCAAGTCACTTAAGTCATCAAATGTGGTTGATGATGTGTAAAAAAAATTTGCCAAGTAGCCTGCCACATGTCGGATTTCTGGGAGTTTAACTCTAAAATATTACTTCGTATATATAAAGGATTAATTAACATCGTTATATAAATGCAAAATAAAAAATATGAAATGTGTATAGAATAAAAATGCAATAAAAGAATTGTAGTGACAATATCGTACAGAGTATTTATCTTGGGAGAAAGACCAAAGTAGGACTAAAACATTGAAGATATACCATAATAAGACTTCCATGTTTTTATTCCCGAAATAGGACTTACATTACCATACATGGTCATATACATTACCAAAAACGTATAGTAATTTGCACATATACACTGCCACATTACCATAGGGCAAAGTCACATTACCACAGTGCAAAGTCTTATTTCGGGGAAAAAACATGAAAGTCCTATTTTGATACTTTTATCTATGTTTTAGTCCTATTTAAGGTGATTTCTAATTTATCTTTCATTAGTTTCTTTTATAAAGTAATTAATTCCATCGATTCTTAACTAATATTTAATTTTATTTTTTCCATTAAGATTTTTATTTTGTACAAAATCATATTAATCTTTAATTACTTTTATTAATTTAATCTATAACAATATTAATTTTATTCGGTAAAGTCATTGCAAACTCAAATCACTCGATTTTGAAATGCCTTTCAGCAGCTAGCTAATTAAGAAATTTATTTATTACTCCGGTACCTTCTACCCAGTATAAGCTTTTATTAAATGCTTTATTTTTAATAAATTATCGATTGCCTTTTACAAACTGTCAATTAATTATATTCCTTATATAGTACCTACATTTAGAACTATGTTGGGAAAATCGGAAATTACAAATTAAACCGAAACCAATTGAAACGAGCTAGAAAAAAACGAACCAAAAAAATCGAAACCGAATGTAAGAAAATTGAACCAAATTGTTATTGTTTGGTTTTCATTTTGGAAAACCGAACCGAATAAACCAAATTTTCTTAGGTACTTCACTTTATTTAGACGAGTATATGTGATATGTAAAAAATCATAGAAATGTAAATGTAAATAGTTGACTAGTCGACTAAAGTTATTGTTTAACTATTAATTAAACATTTTAAACCATATTATAAACTTTAAAAAAACCTAAGAATATTAACACCAATAACTAATCCTAATATAGAACTATATTAACATTAAATATTGATACGAGTAATTTACATATTTACATAAAAAACTTTGATATTATAATGGAAATAAAAATATTATATCCAAAAATGTAAATTCTTCGTATATTTAAATACGATGCCTTTGGAAGTATTTGGAATCTCCTAGATTTTTGTTGGACACTCGACACATATTTTCTAAAATTGAACCGAACAAAATATTAACCTTCCGTTCAGTTTTTGGTTTTGTATAAAAATCAAACAAAAAAACCGATTCCAAACCACATAAACCAAACCAAATAACCAACAGTTTACATATTTTTTATGTAAAAGTGAACCGAATCGCCAACTTACTTTCTGTTTTGTCTTTGGTTTGAGTGAAAACCGAACCCACCCCTACCTACATCTGACATCTTTTATGATGTTCGTAGAAAATGGAAACTCAAACTTATTACAATTGCTATTCTGGTCCCTCCATAAATTTTATTTATTTTGTATTTTTATTGGGCATTTGATAAACTAAAATATTTTTCTTACCATTTATTTTATAGAATTTTTTATAGAATTTTTAAATATGTAAATTGCATTTTTTATTTCTATGTCAATTTGTAAATAAACTAATTTTAAAAAATTACTTTCTCCGTCTTAAAATGATCTTTCCAGTTCGATTTACGAGTTGAGGTTTGAATGAATTTTTTTAAATTTAATTTATTTGATTATAGGTGTAAAATTTAAAAACAAAAAATCCATATTTTAAAACTACATTAAAAAGTTCTACAAACAAAAAGTAACTTAACTATATTATTTTATTAAATACTCAGTAACTAACAAAAATAAATAAAAGAAAGTAAATAAGATTTAACCGTATAAATAGTTATTGGAGTTTGAATAAAACATTAAAAATAAAAATAAATAGAATTTTTTTATTTATTTGGGAAATAAGAATAAAACCATTGCTGGCTGCGGCTCATCCTCAAACCATTGCCTATTCTAATAGCGCGAAAGCAGTGTTATGATACGGAGTATCACCCATAGCTGACCGTCTGGAACGAGTTACGGCATCGTGTCTGTGTAGAGATATTAATGAGTCGGTGAGCAGCCACCCATCCACCCATGTGATAATCTTCAGATAACATATTCCTAGTGGCTGTGGATTGAATAGAAAAGATCCAGACACCCCAAATGAAATCAATTATTGTGCCCGTATCATCATTGTTTCAATACAGGGAAAGATAAGAACTTTCTCTATATCTCAGCCTTCTGGGTTTTCGTGCTTGAAGAATATTTCTTGGACATAAGCTCTGGGTTATCACCAAAACGAACAAAGGGGGACAAGAAATAGGTGGAATTCTATCTTATGATGGTAAAGTTCAGATTTTGAGCCAATTTTCTGTACTTTTTTTGGGAAACAAACAGGCCCTTTATTGGTTCTCTTGTAAAGTTGATTCTCTGCACTTTCTTGTTTAAACTGTAAAGAAAATGGGTTGTGAGGTAGATTATATGTGGAGTCTCAGTAGTTTAGTGGCTGCTTTTCTGGATCTAGCTATATCTTATTTCTTGCTCTGTGCATCATCTGTGGTTTTCTTGGGAACCAAATTTCTAGGACTGTTTGGTTTGCCCTTGCCTTGCCCTTGTAATGGACTATTTGGGATATCCCCGAATACGAATCTCTGCTTGAAAAGGCTCCTGGTTGATTTTCCTAATGAGAAAGTCTCTGATGTTCAGCTATTGGTGAGGGGAAAGTTCCCTTTTAACAATCATAATAATTGCCATTTGAACATGAGGTTGATTGAGGAGAAGGGCAATAACTGTTTCAATACTAGTCCCGCGCTTGCTGAGATTGAACCCCGGGAGGCTTCATGTAGTTCATTGTCAGATGCAAGGAAATCAATTAGTGTTCCAAGAATTGAGTTTGAGCCAAACAAGACTGAGATTGGGAGTGTAAGAGACGGAAGGGCTGATGTAAAGGGAAAAGGGGTAACAATCTATAAGAACCGAAGTGGGATACGTCGTCGTAGAAAACGGGCTTTAGCCGCTGAGCGTTGGACTTCATCATCAGTTTCATCATATGATCATTCGCTTTCCGATTTTCAAAGTTGTCCAATATCTCCACCTAGTATCAACAAAGAAAGGAATGCAATTAGACTGTGGAGGGAAAACAGCAGAGAGCTTTATGGAAATGGATTCGATGCCCACTATTCTCGTGAGTTTCTATTGCCCTTGAGAATTTAAATATGAGTTAGTCATGCTGCATATTATGGATTGTTATGGATGAATTGAGCACAATATTCAATTACCAGTTTTTCCTGTCTTGTACACCCTCAGCCTGAAACTAATTGTAATTTTAGATTCTTTTTACGTGCCATCAAATCTTTGCTATTTTTGGAATTCAGCATTGAATTTCAAACAGTCTATTCAGTTTGCTCATGTTACATTGTCTTAGGTTAATTGCTTGTCTATCTTGGGAATGAGCATTGGAAATAAAAAGGCATTTAAAGTTAAAATTAAACAGTACTCCGTATTTGATGAGTCATTTTATTAGATTCCTTGTTTTCACACAGAGGGAATTGGTATATGTCGGTATGATTCCTGGGCACATATACTGACAGAAATAAAGTTTTTTTTTTTTTAAAATTATTTATAATGCCATTCAGTAGTTAAAGTATCACATGTTAGGTGAAACCCTGTCATAATGGTATGCATGAGATATGTGAGCTTCTACTAGGCCTGTCTTTAGTCCTTAAATTCAAGAGCAAAATACATTACTCCGTGTAAATTCTATTATAAATATGTTTCATGAACTTAGACTACAGGGAGACACACAAAGGAACAAGGCATGGACAAAGAGACGGTTTTGATTTGAATGGATTTCCTGATTATGATGAGCAAAATGAGAAGATTGTTTCGTCCAATGATGGAGAAGAAGAAGAACAAGCCGGGCGTGATGCTCTTTACCTTGAGCTTGAGAAGGAGAGAAATGCTGCTGCAACAGCTGCTGATGAGGCTATGTCTATGATCGCACGCCTCCAGGAAGAGAAGGCTTTGATTGAAATGGAAGCTCGGCAGTATCAGAGGATATATGAGGAAAAATCCGCTTACGATGCAGAAGAGATGAACATTCTAAAAGAGATCCTGGTGAGGAGGGAGAGGGAAAAGCTCTTTCTGGAGAAGGAAGTTGAAGCGTATAGAAAGATGATGGTTAGTGTTGGAAATGAGCAACCGGCTGCTTCTGGTGATGATGAACACATACCTGACTCTGAAAGACAGCTTTCTGATTATTCGATTTATGAAAGTGAGGATCCTATCTTGATGCTACGCCAGCTTAGTGCATCTATTGACAAGAAGACCATGAAAAAAAGCAAGAGATCAGATGAATCTGGGATGGAATCCTCAACCTTAGGACAGAAGGAAGATTCTAACTTCCTAGAACAAGGAAGCCATCCTTTTGGATATCAAGAATTTCAGGAGAAAGAGATGGTTACTATGATCAATGCTTCTAATGAAATCCCATTTCCTTGCAGCAAAACAGGTGTTTCTGAACACAATCACCCAGAAAATACTTCACATGACGATTCATATCAGGATTTCAGCACATCGAATTTATCATTTGATAAAGAACTTCATGTTGTGCATGATGTTCATATAATAGATGGATCTAATGTCAGAAATGAGGGAAAAGGAAGTGAAGGGATGCCACTATCCACAAATGATGATCTTACCCGTACTATAATAACTAGTCTTCCACCTGAAGCTTCAGCTTCTCAGGCAATTGATGTTGACAGAAGTGCTAGATTTACGAATACACAAATGGAAGAAGCCAAGAGTAGGAGGAGCAGTTCAGGTGTATTTGATCAGCTTCCCCCATTGGATCCAAAGACCATATCCATCAAGCCTGGTGATGTGCTGCGCAGGCATTCATTGTCAACCTTTGACATTGAAAGATTGAAAATTGACTATGAGGTTGAAAGGCTGAGAGAAAGGCTGAAGAGCGTTCAAGAGGGAAGAGAGAGACTCAACCTGTCAGTGGAGAATAGAGAGGGAGAAAAGGTACAGCTGAAGCTTTTGGAGGATATAGCACAGCAGCTCAGGGAGATTCGGCACCTCACACAACCCGAAAAGGAAATACGGCAGGCTTCCTTACCTCCTCCATCATCAAAGGTGTGAATCTAGTTTTCATGTTTCTTTTTCTTTTTCTGATTGTGAATTATGATAATGATTCATACTTGCATACTCCCTCTGTCCCAAAAAAGGTTCCACTATTCTTTTTGTTTGGTTTGTCCCATTTAAAGGTCCTACTTTTTAAAGAAAAATTGTGGTTCATATTATTTCTATATCCTCTGCGTACAGCCCAACTACAAAATTTCAACTCTTAAAATAAATGTGCCATGTCAACCAAATAACTTTTTTTGGGGGAGGAAGGTGGGTGGGTGGGGGGCGGGGGTTCTGGGGACATTACTTGCTATATAAGGGAACCTTTCCTCTTAGAAAATTTTCACGTCTATAACCTTTGTAATATCATTCCCTTGTTCGTTAGTAAAATTTGTTTCTTTCTCTTTTTGAATGTACCAAAAAACTTTTTACTCTATTACCTTTCAAAGAAGTAAACATGTGGCAAATGGTTTTCCACTCATCTAAACAAATTCCAGCCACATATTTTTCACTTTTGAAGAACACTTTTCTGGGAAAGTCAAACTAGGAAGAATTTTATGAGATGGAGTCATGGAGGTACTATGTTTTCTGAGAAGTGCACGCAGTTCCACTTGTTTGTATAAAAACGGCTGTCCTTGGACAGCTGGACCTAACCTATGAAGCATGGGTGCTTCAAAAAATAGCCGCACGAGCCTAGGTGCGGCGGTGTGGCTGGGTATATTTTTATTTTTTTATTTTTGAAAATGAACAACTGGGTAGTTTTATATTGTTTTTTTTTAAATTTGGGTGCAGCTAGGTAGTTTTGATACATATCTATTTTCTGGTAATTTGAGACTTGTATTATGTTTCATATCTATTTTCTGGGTTGTTATGTGTTCGATTTATTTTATATTTGGGCAGTTAATTTTTTTGAATATTTGGAACATAAATACATGTGTCTTACAAAGAAATGAATGATACAAATAAAAATTGTATAAATAAATTTGCCGCACCTGCATCATATTTTTTGAAAATTTCCGCACCCACGTACCAGTCCGCAGTCCTGCACCCGGACCTGTGATTCATAGGACCCAACAGTAAGCGGATACCTGTGGATATCCTCTTGAAGTGTTCATCATTTCTTTCTTTATAAATTTGAAGTCTTTTACAATGGTCCTCCGCGGCACACTTAATAGTTTTGGCCTTTGTTCATGAATAACCCTTTAGCAAGCTCAATTCCATGAGTTTGTTGTCAAAATGCTGCAAGTCTGTTTTTGAATTTAACAGTCCAATCCTACAAATTTTCATTGTCCTTTAAAGTCATCCACACTTTAAAATTGTCCAGTTGTCAATGGAGATAAAAGAGTCATTATTGGCAATGCTTTTTTTAAGCTTTTGGGTAAATAATGAATTAAATCAAAATGGCATATTAAACTTTCTTTCTCTGAAGTCTTGATTGTATAATTTATACAGGGGTAAGATTGCGTACATTTTGATGCCTATGTCCAATGAAGTTGGGACTAGATTGTGTTTTCTGTTTGTTGTTTTTTAAACATTCCAACCATAAACACATCATTCTTGCTCAATGTGTTCCTAACACATGATTTGGTTCAAAACATTTCAGGTAAAGCCGAAGAAAAAACGTTGCCGTAGTGCCTCATTAGGGGTTCATAATAGCTCCTAAGGGAACGGTTTTTCAGCACTTCACAATGTGCTGCCGGGGTTGAAGCTCTCCGGGTACTGGTTCGCGTTATTTGATTATCTTAGTGGGATAAGAAGGTTATTATGTACACTTGTATTTTACTTTGTAAAAATGTATCTAATGCTAGAATGCTTAACAACCGCATTATTTCCCCCGAGCATATTTCTACTACTCCAAGCTCTATGGAGTCCTCATGGCCTTTGTGTGCCAATCCATGGGGTATTGCAATTTGATGGTTGTGTGAAGGGATTAAAATTGGACATGACATTCAAGAGACATGGTACAAGGAAGATGAACCACTGAAGTATCAGTTATTTTTTCAAAATTGACGGTTTTGACCCCAAAATCCCCAGCCGCCCAACCCCACTACCTTCTTTGCTGATTGACTATAAGAAATCCTGTAGCCAATCGGCAAAGAAGGAATGGAGAGCAGGGTCAATTTTGCACGGGGGAGTCAATCAGAACCATTATTGAGTATTATATTATAATTTACAATTAGAAAATAATAGTAATGTTACATATGGTTAAATAACTCCTTTTTGGGACATGAGGGAATGACACGAATAAGTTTGTGTAGTTGATATTCACGTTAAAAAATAAGAATAGTTATGAACAATACAAATACTCCCTCCGTCCCCATTTTGATTACAATATTCCTTCTTTTATTTGTACCAAAATAGATTACAAATTTTTATTTTACCATGTAATTGTCCAAAATACCCCTCATAATAATATCCACCCATCTGTCCCCCCTTATCTTCTCGAAATCCCATCCGCCCTCATTCCTCTTCATCTTGTGCGATTCCTCTTCACTTTCTCTCAATCCTCTTCATCTTCCTCTGCATCGTCCACGATTCCTCTTCCCTCTTCCTATGTCTTCTCCATGGACTCCAGATTCGTCCATGCCTACTTTCCATCTGTTGTCACAAGAATCACCTTTAAGATCTAGATCTAGATCTCCTCCCATCTCCGATAATAAAAACACCTGTGTGGTTCCCTTTGAATCACCTTCGTACACGTCTGAAACAGACCCTACCTGGAGATATAGAAAGAAATACAACTGCTTGGTTGTAGAAGATACAGAATTGGGATTTTCGAGCGAAGAAGGGGAAGAGGAAGAGGTCACCTCTGTGTATGACCCGACAAAAATGACATGCATGGATTATTTTTTCATGGATAATCCTCCAAAAAGACCTTCTTGGCTGGAACCATGTGGTATGAATTCTCCTTTTATTTATTTAATGCGAATCGAGGCTGGTGGTAAGTTTTTTTGAAACTGATGATGATATGGGGTGTATGCTTCAAAATTTTGAACTGGGATAAAAGAATGCCATGTTAATTTGGCCTTTACCATTGTGGTGTAGCTAGGAACGTTTTGATTGATCTGTGATAGCCCTTGTTTGTTTCCACCTCTGTTTGGGAGGATGCGTAAGAACTATGATGCTCCCCGATGTGCTGGTCCCTGTCTCATTATGTATTTTATGTGTTTTTGCTGAGTTCTTTGGTAGTAGATGTCCCTGGTCCCTGTCCCATTACGTATTTAAGTGAGTCTGGTTTATGATGCAAAATACTCTGCTTTTCCTGAGATCCACATTTCCCACTTATCATGTGTTATGCTATGCAAAATGTTATTCACTCTGCCCTAAGGTCTACCACAGGCACTGGTGTTTGTGTTTTGGCCCTGAGGTATAAGGTGACTACTTTCTGTTAAAATGAGATAAGTTATGACACTAATTGAAGTCTCTCTCTCCCCATTTTGATTACAATATTCCCTGAGGGATGAATCCTATAAGTATTACTCCTTCAGGTCCTAATTTGATTACAATATGTTCTGATGTATAAGGTGTCCCTGGTTTAGTATAGATCCTGAGATCAATGATGACATATTTTCTGAGATCTATGATGGACTATTACAAAAGTTGTGTTTGATTCTTCTGTGTGTGATAGCTAGCATTAAGATTGCATAACATACATTCAAAACATACATTTTACATTGCTACACTTTAGTAAAGTGTTATTGTACATGTGCAAACACTATGTATGGGGATGGAGTTATAAAGTATCCTAGCCCCTTTTTGTGATGTACATACATAAATCCCACACCCAAAAACCCAAAAAGCAAAAAAGTGAAAATGGACAGTACACTTATATAGGTACATGTCCCCACAGCATTTGCACACAAGTACTAAAAAAGGATACAACTTGCTGTTTCATACACCACCTTCTGATGCTATGAAATTCTGAGCAGCCACAACATCATCCATCCTAACTTGAATGTTATCTGGTAACTGGTTCATTCTCTCCAACCTGTCCTTTCCCATGTGTGGAATCTTATACTGGTTACCCCCTTTTTGCTTTATAATCTCTTCCATGCAACATTGGTATGTTAAGAACACCCTATTCTGTTTTTGTGGTGTCATTTCTTCAAAGGCTTTTTCCACATCACTGATCAAATCTTTAACATTCTTTGGAGCTTTTTGATCTTTGATACTGTCAATAGCTCTAAAGAATCCCAAGTCCAAAACATTTAAGTCAGGACTGTTGGGAGGCTGGAATTGCACTTTAATATCCCAACCATTCTCTTGACAGACTTGTACAATTTCAGAGTCAGCTGGGTCAACATGTGGTTTAGCATTATCTTGTTGTATGATAATGTGCTTGTTATGAGCATCAGGCCACTTAGACTTTATTTCTGGTATGACTCTAGTAAGCATCATTGCCTTCATTACTTGCCTGTTTACAACATCTACTGGCTTTGTTTCAAGTGTTCCAGCAGGCCTGTTCTTACTGTTTCTTTTGGCAGCTTCCTCATATGTAAAGGGAAAAATTCCAACCTTCCCATCCCACAAAGTTTCACCACTTTCCCCAAACCTTGGCCTCCCCACTACTGCCACAAACATGATTTTTGGAATGAACTTTTTTGACTGTATGGTTCTATATGGTCATCCTCAGTTGGTAAGGTGTAAAAGGTGGTTGTTTCTTGGCTTAACTGAAACCATTTCTCATCAATGTGAACATGATCATAGAAGTGATGAAATGTAGGGTTCATGGGAATGGTATCAGGCACTAAGTTATTTAAACAAAACCTTAACCTTTTTAACTTACCCATGAGTGTCAAAAGTGGCTTTATGGCATTTGAGTGACGCTTTATCTCCTTCCTTTTTAACAGCCTGTGCACAATTGTTTTTGACACCTTAAGTTGGCTTGCCACTGACCTGAGATTTTTCCTTTTGCATAAAGGAACTTCAGCAAGTTGTTCTAAATCAAGATCCAACTTTTTCCTACCAACACATCCTTTCATGTTTGTTTGTACATCTATGGGCAGTCCTTGTCTCATTTGTTCTTTAGCTTTACACCACAACAAGTATATGGTCTTATAACACGTGTTATATTCTTGTACCAGTGCTTGAATGACCCCCGCTGAAGTTTATTATTCGTAGATGTTGATAATAAAACGTCAATTATGCGTTTTCTTACCTCCATTGGCAACCTTGGCTTGCTCCGCGTCTGCTGTTGGGTTTCTTCTGTTTGTTCTGCAGGTGACGTGTTATGCCCGGTGTGCACAGTCGCTGGAGCTGAAAGATATGCAAGACTTGCAGCTGAAGGACGTCCAGCCCCGGGGTCTGGATTGTTTCAACGTCCATTCAAGAGGAGTTCGGTTACGGCTGCTTCGGGATCCGCATGGAAAGAAACACCTTCAAAAGCTGCATGTTCCGATGCTGACAATGGCGGAACTTCATTCAAATCAAATGGAAATAAAGGCAAATCCATTAAAGGAAAGGGTCTGCAGAGCAAAAAAAACTGATGGGGAAAGTGAGTAGTGAATGTAGTTATTTATAGTAAGTGAAATTTTGGAGGGAACTGAAATTTTTGGAATTTTTTGGCTCTTCTTTTCCCTCTATTGTACCAGTTCGGAGTATGGTCTCAAACTCTCAATGATGTAAACAGTGATGTACTATTCATTAGTTGCTTTATTTAAACCAATTTTGAGCTCTTCAGTCTTCCCACGTGATGAATTTAGAGGGTAGTATGGGAAATTTTTTAATGATGTGACTTATTCTTAATACACACAAAAAGGGAATATTGTAATCAAAAAGGGGACGGAGGGAGTATGACAAAACATGAAATGAAACAAAATAATTAGATATACAAAAAATAAAACGGAACGGAGTATTATTATTACTACTATTATTATTAGAGTAAATTCCATAAAAGGTCCCCAGTTATAGGTTGTTTTACATATTTAGTTCCTACATATCAAATATACTAATTTTGTCCCCAATTATTATATTCATTTCCACGAATGGTTCTTTGCTAACATTTTCATTAAGAACGTGGATAAAATTGTAAATTCACACTTCTTTCTTCCCTCGCACAAGGAACGTAGTTCTTTGTTAGCATTTCCGTTATTATTCTTATTATTATTATTCTTATTATTCTTATTATTATTATTACTCTGTATTATTTTAGTAGTAGTAGTAGTAGTAGTAATAATAATAATAATAATAATAATAATAATAATAATAATAATAATAATAATAATAATAATAATAATAATCGTAACTATATGGACAAGTGTTTGTGAATTTGTATACCCACAAGCGATAATTATCTTTAGACTTTATGTATTGAGAGATAATTATTGTTTGTGTGTAGAAATTCGTAATCCATGATATGAACAATAATATTTTCTAGCTAACTCTTTTCAAAATAAGTACGAATAGTCTAATTTCTTTAGATGGTGCGATATGGAACGAGAAGAAAACGGAAAGGGTGACCCTGCTATGCGGGACGAAGGGGAACACAGCCATGGTTGCTAGAAACAGAAGGAGCCAATTCCCCTTCTCGTTTCTCCATTTTGTTTTTGTTGTGTTTCTTCTTCTTTTTCATTTCTTTCTTTGCTTTGGTGCTCTCTCTTAGGGTGGTCAGGGGCCGGTCCGAGCTAAGATTTATATAAACCGGACTCGGTTTGTTTTTATTAAAATGGTCCGGGCCGGACTCGGCTTGTTTTTATTAAAATTGAAATCGGACCTAACCCGGCTTGTTTGAAACGAGCCGATTCCACGGGTCAACGGGTCCGAACCTATCATGATATTAATATTAAAAAAATAAAAAAAATAATACGTAGTACTCCGTAATACATATATGGTCATTCACCATTAGTCCAAAACAATGTACTACCTCCATTGTCTATTTTAAGTCATCAAACACACAAAAAAGGTCTAAGTGAAGATAAAACAATGGCAAAGAAGGGCATGAGAGTAAAGTGCACGCCCCATGATCATCCAACAACAAGAACAACAAAAGAAGATTGAGGTATTAAAAAACGGTATATTTACTAAAACTAATACTGGGGTATTAAAAAACGGTCCGGTCCGGGTCAATACAATTTCAAAATGGGGAACCGGACAGATCCTAAAATCTATAAGGACCGGATCGACTCGGACCGTTATAAATTTTTGAAAAGAGGACCCGCACCTAATCCGGACCGAACCTAGCGGTTCGGTTCCGACTCCCAGTTCCTTGACTCGTTTGCCCACCCCTACTCTCTCTCTCTCTCTTTCTCTCTCTTTGAGTAAATTCCATTCCATAATTAGTTCTTTATAGTAGGGGGTTTTCCTATTTAGTCTTGTACGGAGTATTATCAAATATTACTCCGATGGTCCTTCTTTTATGGATATTTCTCCATAAATAGTCAGTTTCTATCTTCTATCATGTTTATGTTAATTTGAAGGCTAAAAGTATAATTTCACAATGATTATATATCTGTCATGTCATACACAGTTCCAAAGGTCACTTCTGATGCGTCATTTGTGAAACAATCGTTTTCTAATATAACCATAGTGTACAAATGTGGTCCTTTATCAGAATCTTAGCCCACAATCATAGTCATTATTGTTTGTTATCCATATAACCAATATCAGAAAACGTCACTGGCATAAAGTTGATGTTTAATTATACTTTTAGCCTTTAAATTAATACTAACATGACAGAAGATAAAGAAATGACCATTTATGGAAAGACACCCATAAAAGGACTGCAGATATAATATTTGATTATAGAAAACTAAATATGGGAACCCTCATGTTATAAAGAATTAATTGTGGAATTCACTCTTTTTCCTATTTTTAAGTTTTTAGTTACCTTTTAAATTTTTTATATAATTTTTTAAAAGTTTGTATTACAAATTACTCCGTATAATTTATAATTTTGATTTAATTATTTAATTAAATTAAGTACTAAAAAATAATACTCCCTTTGTCCCATTTTAAATTGCCTGTTTGCCTTTTTTCTCCGTCCCAAAATAAATTACCTGTTAGTTGTTTTCGTAAACTTTTAAAAATAAAATACCTAAACTACCCTTAAAATAAGTCACTCTTTTTCACCTTATCTTCTCATTCATCATTACGCCTCTTAAAAAGTAATGTCAATTTCGAAAAATCAACTTTATTTTTTATTTTCCTTAAATATGTCTAAAAGTCAAAACGGGCGATTTAAATTGGGACGGAGAGAGTACTCCCTATTAGAAAATGGAAAGAAAAGGAAAGAAGAAAAACCAAGAGGCCTTTAAAGATGGTAGTAGTAGTATGGTTCAATTCTTTCCCTCAGGAAGAAGCTGAGAAAGGACTGGTGGGAAAACTGTTGAAGACTTGAGAGACAGAGTCCATCGTTAATGCTCGAACTATCCTCTGGTTCGTTTCTATCGATCCCTCTACAGATCACGAGTTGATTCACGCAAGTTTCTCGTCCGAAAGGTTCTAATTCAGGTAATTTTGCCGATTAAACTTTAGGTCTGGTTCACTATTCCATTTCTCTCTGGTGATTCCTTCATGAATCGAAGCTAACATTGATTATATTGCTGCCAAGTGCGATGTTAGGATTTTTTAGATTTCTTCTATTCTGAATCTGTAAATGTATGTATTTCTGGTAATGTTAATCATGCACCTACAGTTTTGCATCCGAATGTCTTTTTCATTCACGAGTATTTAGAAAAAAACTAGATATTAGGGTTCGTTTCCGTTGCCTGTTTTTCAACTGATTGATATGAAAAGAAATTGGGCTTTATTTATTTATTTATTTCAAAATGCGAATAATTTGGAGAGTGTATTGAAAAATGTTTATATCTGAAGGGTGTCTTAGGAGCAACAAGGGACAACAGGAAACTCCTATGGATTCATGGTATCCACAGTCTATGATCAACTCTCCCAGTTCTTCCCGCCCCACATTGCATTGTCCAAGCTCCTCTGGTAGCTTCACTGCATCAAGGCCTCCGCACAGTTCTGCATCTCATGTATCTCCAGCAGAGGCCGCTGGCATAATAACTGTTCTAAAAGATAAAAGGTATGGGTGGGTGTATGCATCCCATTTAGTATCCAGAGTAATTAATCATCAATTTTTATTTTTATTTTTATAGTGTTGATGAGCTTCGGAAGCTTCTCTCTGATAAGGCCGCTTACCAAAACTTTCTACTCTCACTTGAGCCTGTCAAAACACAAAACAATGTGAGTTGCAGATCATGGGTTTAAAGAATCAATTATTACTATGGTATGGAGATGATGTGTCATATGGGGCTATTGTCCTTATGGGTCTTTAGCATAATGTAGTCTGTAAAGTTTGATTTGTAGTATTTAGGAAATATTGGCTATTTGGCTTTTTTTAGTTATTGAAACTGTGATCTTGTAGTTGCTTTATGCGTACAATGAATGCTTCTAAATGTGGAAAAGAATCAACATTTTCTCTCTTTCCTCTTCATCTTTCATTGAAGGCCAAACTAAGGAATCAAGGGCTCTGTTTGGCTTCCTATTTCTAGGCCTTCTCTGCTTTCAATCCTGCTCTTAGATTTCCATTGTTGTCCAATTTTTTTGTTTAATAATTCTCCCATTGTCCTAAAAAAGAGTCTCATTTCTATTTCGCAATACATTTTTAGCATAAAATATAAGACTTTCTTATACCAAAGTAGTATATACTTTGGCAATTTTTTAAAAAATAAAGTAAAAAAGGAACTCTACTTAATTTATCCTTAACATTTTTGTTCGAATCACGTTTACTGAAATCATTTTTTTATCTATGTGACTGCTATTTCATGTCTTCGATTGCACAATAGGTAAGGGATGAGCTTCGTAATGAGACTCTGCAGCTTGCAAGTAAGTTCCCTATAATTGTCTTTTTCTAATTCTAGGTAAAACACTCATACAGATCACATTTTAACTCTACTAAATTACAGGGGAAAATTTGGAAAAAGAATCAAGGATCATGGAGCTTAGAAATCAGGTCTAGTTTTACAAATGTTGAAGTAAAAGCATTGCATACAAATGTAACATGTAGTTACTGAATGTAAGTAATTGTTGTTAATCATTCGTGTTTACGGCTTACAGTGTAGGATAATTCGAACTACTGAATTAGCGGCTGCTCAAGAAAGGCTGAGTGAACTGGAAAGGAGGAAAGAGGAGCTTTTGAAGTACTACTCTCCTCTATCCCTTCTCCGTCGGCTTCAAGGTAAATAGACTGCTGATAAAATACTGTAGTTATCAGTGGTGCAAGTGTGTTTTACTCTTTTTTTCCTCTTCGCTGAAGTGAAAAAAAACAATTGTTTTTGTATGTGCCTATTGTGGCTAAAGAAAAGATAGTGGCCTCCCCTCACCATGTATTACTTAGTCACCAAAGGATAAGACCCCCCCCACCCCCACCCCGGCCAGACAAGATAGTGGAGGGGTTATTCATGGTGAGTGACTGAGTTTCTCATGCAGTGAAACTGTGAAAGGACCAGTCCTTGGTGCCCACTAGGAGTCCACTAAATTGAGTGCAAGTGTGTTTACTCCCACACTGCGACTACTAGGAATAGATCATGTTTCATTGCCCACAAATACACAATGTGCTATCGATGAATCAACCAATGGAATTGCAGATGCAGGCCCCGTTATGTTTTACTATAGTGGCCTATCGTAGCTCCTTCGGAGTCTACTGACAAAACATATGTAATTCAGACTCTTTTTTTAAGTGAAAAAAAGACCAAGAGATCAAATGGTAGGTAAGTGACCAAATAAGACTTGGGGCATATTCTCTTCGTCTAATCCGATTTGTTCTGATCTGAATTTTGTCTAATAAGGTCTGGCCTGATCTGTATTAATTAGATCTGGTTCTGTTTAAAGATGTTTGTGATACGGTCTCATCTCATCTGACTCCAATAAGAATAAGTTGAATAGAACACGTACTTAGGGATAATTGTTTGAGGCTATAAATAGTCCTTGCAAATATTCTCTTGCCAGTAGTAGAATTTAGAAGCTTGGGTAACCTGATTGATTTTTGCCATTCATGCCAGAGGCAGCCAATAAAACGGAGGAAGAATCCGAAGCCCTGCAGAAGGAGCTTCTTAATCGAGAAATTGATCTCCATGCATATGTGCACAAGTACAAGAAGTTGCGCCACACTTACCACAAACGTGCACTAATTCACCTCGCAGCCAAGACATCACTAACAGGCTAAAAGCTTCTTTAAGGTGTGTATTAAACTGCCACTCGCCCCTGCTTTGATGCTGAAATTCAACCGGTTTGTATACACACTTATACTAGTGTTTTGGAACCTGTTACTACCCAGTATATAGGTGAACATATATTAGCCCATGGGTTAATGGTGTTTGTAACTTTTGGTCCCTTGTGTATCAATATTCAAGGGGGACCTTTTGGTCCCATTAAAAAAAATAATACTCTGTAATAATGATAATATAAAAATACTACGGACTACAATGTTGCATTATGTTTTTGAATTTAATGATGTTTAGCTATGTTGCTTTTTTATTTTCATTCATTTTTTTCATTTGCCTCAAAATTAACTTTGCATAAAAAAGGCATTGTGAAACATTATTATGGAGCCGACGGAGTAACATGCTTGGCATTGTCAGTGCCATGTTTTTCCATATGTATTTTGGCATAATAGTTTTGGCTGACATTGTACTACTGCGGAGAGAAATAGATCAATGCTGATTTTTTATGGATTAGTACAATTTTTTCAGACGAATTTTGGTCTTATTTTAAGGATAAAAATATATAAATCATATTTTAATTCTTCCACCACATTTTAATTTTAATTGAGACTTTTTCCTTTGTTCCCTATTGGATGANTTTACTATACCCACGCAAAAACTCCATGAGATAGTTATGTACATTGACAGTTGGAGAATTCCTAATCGAAGTATTTTTTCAGTAATCACGTATAAATTTGGTTTATGAATCTGGAGTATAAACTAGGTGAGTAACCACGTTCACTTTTTTTTGAAATCCAAATCTAGACTATAATTTCGTATGGAGTATAATCAAAATTAGAGTAAATTCTATAATTAATCATTTATGACAAGTAATTTTTTTATTTAGTCTTCCTTTATCAAACAAAGTTTTGCTTATGTAGTTCTAAATTCCATATGAAAAATGTGAACCTTTTTATACTTTTTATAAGCTAAAAGTAAATCCTTTCTTTTTTGTAAAAGTCCAATTTTTTTAATGTTGTTTGTGGTATTGTACAGAAAATGAGTGTAGACCTAAAGTTTACGAAAGAATTTACCTATCAAACATTACATTTGTGATCCTCTTATTATAAATACTTTACCAATCTTTTTTTATTTTGTCATATTGGTTTTAACTTTATAACTAAAAATATCACAATCATATTTTACTCTTGTTTTATTCTTGTCATAGTCAATACCAAAAGTCGTTGCTTATATTCATTTGTCAACTAGAGCCACTGTCTACGACAACCATAGCCTACAAATGTTATCTCGAGCCAGAATTCCAAACCAAGGCCAAAGTCACTAGTCACTATTATTGATTGGACATAAGATCGATATGAAATATCAACGTGATAGAAAATTAAAAACAAAGTCCGTGGAAATGCACCCATAAAAAACCACGAACGTAATACTCCCTCCGTCCCAAAAAGTTTGTTACGTTTAGAAAATAGTGCGTCCCGTAAAGTCCGTTACATTTCTATTAAAAACCACTTTTACCCCTTATTTTTTCATACCCTACCTATCACATCATACCTTTTTCCTAATAATCTACCCATCACATCCTACTTTTACCCATCACATCAAGGGTATTTTTGGAAAGTCAATACCAAAATATCCCTCCCTTAATTACCCAAAAAGTCAAACCGTCACATTCTTTTTGGGACGGAGGGAGTGCTTGATAATAGAAAACTAAATATGAAAAAAAACTTTCTATTATAAAAAATTAATCATAGAATTTACTCTTAAGATTAATATGAATAGCAAACTTAGAAAGTCAACACAAATTTAAACTTTTCTTAATATTCATACCTGATCAAAGCAGAATCTAAATTTCTGGACGAAACGGGTATAAATTTAATATGGGACCAAATAAACATCAATGCAATTCATGAGAATGTATACTATACACCTCGGTGTACGTAGAGAGGTACACCCGGTGAATGTTCATTTTCCACCGTAGTGTTCATTCCAAATCTGCTCGATATAGTGTTCATTTTGAAACAATGTAGTGCTCATTCTAAAACATGTTCACCATGAAACAATGTAGTTTTCATTCTGAAACTTTTTTTTAATTTAAAAGTTTTCCACGATGTACCAAGAACATGGTGCATCCAATTGTACCATATAATCTGCAGCAGTATGTATTGAAAGAGAGCAAAGAGAAAGGCTGGCAACAAGAAAGGAAACTATGAAAGCTCAAAGCCAGCATTTGAATTGATGGCATAAAGAAGCTTTGCTCTCAAAGTGCTCGACCGTCTATACGTTGGAAGCTGTCAAAATTGGAGATAGACAAGGAGAGAGGGGGTCAAGATATTTTTGTTGCTAGATTTGAATTGCATGAGATGGAGAAACCTCAAAATTGTGCATAAAAGTCCAGAAGAAAAATGCTTGTGTACACAAGAATTTGATACCATTTTGACACCAAACTTCGACACACAGAGACAATATAACTATCTGTGCGTGCAAAGACATTGTGAGAAACTTAGTGTCAAAATCTTGTAACCCAAGCACAACTCTAGTCCAGAATAACCATATTGACAATACCTTTAAGGTATTATAACATGTAGAAGCTGATGGAAGTCGATCCACATCCTGCCCTCCAAATACAGCTAATAGTGGCATCTCGCATGGAACCTACTCATGTTAAACTTCATGTCAAGTTGTGTAAAACATGATGTTTCTATTTTCTTTTATTTATTTTTTTCTTTAAGAGTGATTATTGGCAATGAAAATTGAACTCGTAATCTCTAGATCAACAACACTTTGATACCAAGTTAAAGGATCAGCTCAACCAAAACCACAAGTAATTGGAAAACTTACCAAGAAATTTGTCGAAAACATCTGACTTTACAAAAAAAACTAGGCATAGTTTTGCCTGTTTTTTTGTAGAGTGGTGGTTTAAACGTTTCAGTCTATTAGGACATGACACTTACCTTATGAATTGTGAAGGGTGGTTGGAGATATTTGAACCCGAGTAACGGAGATCGAGAACAACTTGTCACAAACTTAAGGAGCAAACACCGTTCCCTGGCTTCAAACTTTGCAAATACCTGCATTATGATAAAAGCAAAAGGGTATATTGGCATTACAATGGCAATCATGTTCAAGTGTTCAACCAATCAATCATATGCAAAACAAATCAATCCACCCACGCAGAGATAGTTTCCTATTCTACATCGGTCCGTCACACGAAGATAGCCCACTTACCTTGTTGAGAATGTCATTGATTCTTCATTTTCATACAAGCCCTTAAATAAGGGTAATGATAGGGGCATGGAGTCGGTCGCACAATAAGTATGAACTTACAACCACTCTTGCACACTAAAGTTAAGAGTAATTTTACAAGGGCGTGGTGATAAACTCACACTGATTACAAAACCCATTTCCTACCCCTATCATTTTTATTTACTCCACATCAAGTACACGAGTAATACTCCATCCATCCATTTTATATATCAAACTTATGAAATTTCTCCCACAACTAACTTTCTACGTTTCCTGATTTATGATTTCATTTGTAAACAGAACTTCCCAATTGTGAAAATGTCCTATTAGGTGGTTTATGGGTAAGAGCATCTTTTCACAAGTTTAAACTTTCCAAAAAGATGTCTAGTGTGAAGCTGATTGTGAAACTAAGTGATTACTATTGGGGAGTACAGTTACAAATTTTTGCCATAAATCATTTGTTTCATTTATATTTGTGTAAAAAGCAAGTGTCAGATATGTTGAGCCTACACCTACAGTTTCTAGCCTATTGCAAATGTACTCACTCCATCACAAAAAAAGGAATTTCATTTAAGATATACTTGATCCTTATTTAAGTGCCCGGTTTAACCAAGCACAGTTTAAGAAAAATGTAAAAAAGTGAAGTGTGGGTGGAATTTGCTTAGAAGAGAAAAATATTATGTGCCACATTCCTTTCCTTGAAAATAAATGGGAGATAATTTTATGGGACAGACGAAAAGGAATGTAGAAGAATGGCCACTTAATACCCCCCCCCCCCCCACAAAAAAATTTACTCCATCCGTCCCTAAAAACATTCCCACTTATCATACTCTCTCTGTCCCGAATTAATCTTCTTGTTTGCTTTTCCATGTAGTTTAAGAAAAGTGAAAATTGTTTTGTTGAGAATTATAGTGAGGAGAGGGATTCATTATGGGCCACTTATTCCATTTCTTTTAAAGAATGAAAATTTTATTTAAGGACAACTCGAAAAAAGAAAGTGGAAAGACTAATTTGGGACGGAGGGAGTATGTCCCAACAAACACTTCAACTTTCAATAAAAAACTCCTAGTTACCCCTACTAATTAATAAATATCTACCTACCTGTCACATTATACCTATTCACTACTAATCAACCTATTACCATCATATTCTACCCTACTACTCCCTCTATCCCCCATAGATCTTCCCAATAGCCCTTTTTCTTTGTCCACAATAGATCTTCTCATTTCATTTTTTAACAATTAAAATACCACAACTACCCCCACTTACTTTATTTATTACACCTCACCCACCTCATTTAATACACTCCACCCATTTTCATTAAGGGTATTATGGTAAACTTTCACCTTTTTTCAACTCTCCTTAAAAAACCACCAAAAGTCAAAATGAGAACATCTTAGGGGGACGGAGGGAGTATAAAGCAATGACAAAATTGGAAGTAACACTCCTTAAACCCAACCATTTTCAAAAGTGAAAATCTTTCAAGGGACGGAGGTAAAATTACCTTAACCATTTGGAGTAAATAACTACAGAGTAAGACATCTTTCCACTTGGTTGACCAAGAATATTACTAAAAAATTAATGTAGACTTTTGAAACCAGGCTCATATACTTGAAAATGAACTTTTTTGGGGGCAGAGGAAGCAATACATTTCATTTAATCTCTCTTCCATATTTCAACAAGGTATCATATGCATCTGTTCTTTCACAATCTCCATTTCCAGTGAGGACCATGCCCTCTCCAAGATCCAACATAACCATCAGTATTAGACACTGTGGTGACTTCACCCTTAGAAGCCCACCTCCATCGGCAGTTCGGCACCACCATCCCTTCAATCTTTTGCTTGATTCACTACTTTTTGAGCAAGGTTATCTGATCTCATATTTGTTTGCACCACCAGCTTCCTCTTCTTCACACGGTCATTGTAGTGTCTTCCTCATCGCTTCAGCCGCCCATGTTCAAGACTGCCACCATTTACTGCCACGTTCGACATTGACTTCCAGTAAACTAGAACACAAGACCTAATACCATCGCGCAACCAAACTTGTGAAGTTTCATCCCTCTACACACTAACCACAAACATATTCTTCATTTACACAATTCCAAGGAGTTTTTTGGCACAATGACTAATGCAGTAAACTCTCCATCCTCCAGACCCCGCATAGGTGAAATTTCTGCAACCGCGTGCTAGTCTGCTAGAGTTTACTACCATTGACTGCTGCTGTTGGCATTCACCCTAAAGACCAAAATGCTAAAAATTGCTCAAGAAATCCCTTTCTCTAATGGCTTTTATTTGAACTATTATGCTTTCATTCTTTCACCTCAATTTCTGCCTGATATTCGAAAACAAGTACTCCGTACTCAACTACTCATAAGTTATGGATTCATTTCCAAGTGCTTTGGATCATATTTCTGGTAATCTACATAACACCTTTTTTCTCGCATATCTTAAGTTTCTAAACACCTGATGTCACTGTCAATCCGTCACACTAGCAAATGGATCTAAAACCATTTTTGCAAGTGTGGGACAACACTTTCCTTTAAAACGTTTACCATCAGATAATATTTTTAATATTCTATTCACAAGGCCCCTTTAACATTATCTCAGTCAGGAATTTAATCCAGTCTCTGAACTGCTCTATTACTTTCTCCACTAATTCAATTATTGTGCAGGAATGCGGCACTCGGAAAATACTACTATACTTGGTGAGCAAGTGAGCACATAAGCACTATGAAAGCTCAAAATCATTTCAGGAATTAGAACAAAATACAAAAAAAAGATCAGTACTGTCTATGCATGCCTATAATTGAAGACATAAACACAATCTAGTTTATGATATGATTGGAAATAAAAGGTGAAGAAAACAAGAAAAATGAAGCTGTTTTCAAGAAAAGAGGGATAAACCACAAATACCTCCCAAAAAAGTTTCACTGTGCGGCTAGTTTCACTGTATCCCCCACTATACCGTGTATTTTTACGTAAATCGTCAACATCAATATCGTGATCCCCCCCTGAGAGCAACTGGATATCAAAATAGCATACATATATTAGACATGCAAACATATAATAACACATATACATTCAAAATTTTGATATATCTTTGAAAACATGTCATGCGAAACTGAAATACTCCCTTTGTCCATAAACTTTCTTCCTGTTGCGCGTTTCGATGCTTGATTGAAGTTGTTTTTAAATCATTTTGTATGAAATTTGGTGTTTAATTAAAAAACAAGAATTACGGAGTATATATTTAAAAACTATATCAAAAGATCTACAAAACTAGAGGTGACATGACAATATTATTTTCTCAAATAGACAACGAAAATGCACAAACAAAGTGAATAATGTTTGACCCTCTGAATAATGAACGAGAAGAAAATTTATGGATGGAGGGAGTAGCATTCTTTAGACTGATAGTTTGTGATATGGAACCCTTTTCAACCCTAGAGAATTTGGAGGTTCATATTTCAACAAAAATTTGCAATAACACTACAAGAGCAATCGAGAAAAAGCAGCGGCTATATATAATTTAGAAGCCACTCAATTTTGTCATAGTATATAAAAGAGATTCACAACAACAAAAAAAGAATAAATTTTATAGATATAGAAAAATCACATGCGCAATTATTAAAAATTAAATTAGATTTATAAATATTGAGACAAATAGATTCCAATGTCAGATTCATCATTTGTTAGAAAAGAAATCATGAAAGCAATCTGAGAAACAATGTGATAAAGCTTGAGCTTGATTGAATTTAGAATTAAAAAAGGTACATCAAGTCCCAATTCGAGAAGGGATAGTCTCCAGATTCTCAAAGGAAAATACAATAAAAGATAATCACATAAGAAAATAACATGACACTAAGTAATAAACCCACTCCCAGGGGAGTTGGTAACTGCCACGTAACCCACCCACTCAGCCACTTAGTGGGTTGTTTGAAATGCCCATTAACATTTTGAGCTGCTCCACTTCTGCCGGCCCACCCTTTGCCATCTTCTTTTTCCTTCTTGAATATACCAATCTGATTGGAGGCTTATCACAATGTCATAGTTGTACCAGAGAGAGCAAATCTAGTTCTTAAATTTAAAGGAAAATAGGTAAACAAAAAATGTATGCCAAAAA